GGGGGGAATCTAAGCATTACCTCTTCCCTCAAATAAGAGTTCTGTCCCCCAATGAAATTTTCTTTCAGTACTCTATATTCCAGTATTGAAACTGAGCATTTTGAAATAGCAAGACAATGAGGAAATAGAAATAGTAAAATTGTTCCCGTACTTAGGATCAAACATTGCTCAGAACGGAGACTGCAGTTAAGAAATCAGAAGACTGGGAATGGGAAGGGCAGCTATGAAAGAGCTAGGCAAGATCCTAAAGAGTAAAGATATACAAATGAACATTAAAGTTAGAATTGTCCAAGCCATTGTATTTCCTGTCACCATGAATGGATGCGAAAGCTGGACAGTGAAGAAAGTGAACAGGAATAGTATCAACTCATTTGAGATGTGATGCTGGAGAAGAGTGCTGAGGATACTATGGACAGCCAAAAAGACAAACAAATGAGTCCCTGTCCCTAATCCTAATGCTTCATGAACTTACTAAAATATTGTACATGTACAAGGAAGCCTTTCCATACATGCACACTTTGTATGCTGCAGGACTCACCTTTGATGTATCTACAGCTATGTGTGAAAATTCATTCTCAGCTTTAACTCTTGTGCTGACACCATACTGGCCTTCACTGATTCATCAGAGTAAAGCAAACTAGTAATCTAGCCTTTTGAAAGTAACACATTTGAAAGAATTTCAAGTAGACAGATTCTCCATAGGTTTTCAGGGAGAGGAAAAAAAATCCCAGCGCATTAGACTTTATTAACAATCCACATAATTAGAGTAGGATGGATTGCACAATATTGTATTTACTTCCTAGTCACTGTTATTTAGTTTTCACAAGTATTTTGCATGCGGAAAATATTGTTTTTTAAATTGATTTGCTTCTTTGGAAGCTTCACAACATATTTTCTAATTTAAAATGCATGAGCTGAGGATTATTGTAGTCATTACATATGAAAATGGTTTTCCACGAAACCCTCTTTTATGCTGACCACTACAAAAACCCTTCCCTCCCCCCCCCACCAAATTCTCTCATTACACCCTTGATGCATCATGAGCATTGATATCCTACATCAGCAACTTAATTACTAATGTGTAATTAAGTAATGTCTCCTAGAGAATGCCTCTAGCCCACCTAAACAGCCAGCTGCCTCATTGAATGAAGGCGGTCTGTTCAGCTGCTGATCAGGACATAAGGACAATGTCATATCTAGCCTCTTTCCAACAATAAGTGAGGCTGGCATGAGGAATTCTGTTAGGGGTCATGGAATCATAGAATCATAGAGTTGGAAGGGACCACAAGGGCCATCGAGTCCAACCCCTTGCCATGCAGGAACTCAAAATCAAAGCATCCCTGACAGATGGCCATCCAGCCTCTCTTTGAAGACCTCCAAAGAAGGGTCCTGCTTCTGATTTTTGCAGCCTTGCACCACAGTGGAAGGGAGGTGGTTGGTAAAGTGTCATATACATGGTTGGCACTATATAAATAAACAATTATAATAATAATAATGGAAACATCATTCTCCCTGCACCCTGATGGGAAGCTGGACAGACCTCCATTACTTGCTGTGGATGCTGGCTTTTCAGGTGGGCTGGGGAGGGCATTTACAATCTTTACAATAGTGCCACAATCCTGTCTACATAGTGTTATTGAATAAGAAGCAATAACAGGTCCATAACTCTAGGGATGCAACTACTCTGTAATAATAATAA